AATCTTTAAAATAAAATAAGAGTCTAGTAAAGAGTTTTTGCTCTCACATTAGACGTGAAGATGTTTACTTTCTTGTTACTGTTATGTATCACTTGTTAAAAATATTATTTTAATAAAAAATAATAACCCCTTTAAAACACTTTTATAGAACCATGGCTATGACCAAAGTTTCTACTCTTCCAAAAAGTTAAAATGTCTTTAAGTCTGTTCCTGACAGATAAATTCAGAAAAGTGACAAGTGGAACTCAAGGTGCCCTTCAAAATTGAGATTGTTATATTGTATGTATACTTTCTAACAGGACTTAATTCCCTTTAAAATACTATCGGTGGTGTGACTCCCCTTCCGATTCAGCATTTTTCATGGGGGTTAGAGAAGTTTTGAGCTAGACTCTGACCATCTCATGCTGATAGACAAGGAGTTTTACCCAGAAAATTGCAGATTATCAGATTATCAGCTGTGGACTCTAATATGTTCCTAATGATTGTGTAAGCAACAATTACGTAACCTTCAAGTGAGGCCATTTGTGAATTGATCATTATCCTGTCCAGCACTCATAGACTATAGTTTTTTGGAGTTTGTTTCCTATTTTTACCCACATTCTACAATCTAAATCTGTCTTCTAAATTATACTTTCAACTAGACATTGGTCAGGGATGGATGACTTCACAGAGGATGGCCAACCAAAGAAACATTTTTCCTTCAATGTCATAGACTTTTCTACACAAGGTGCTGCTTTGAAAAAAGCATCTGTCATCCAACAGACTTTTGTTGTTTACCAGACTTTCAACATCAGGGTATGTGGCTTAAGGATGGGGGTTCAGGTAGGAATAAAAACAAGCAGGGAGGCACTGAGAGGGAAACACAGAGGTTCTACTGCTCTGTGGCACATTGCTCCTAGAATATTATAAAATTCTTGTTAACTTGCTAGTGTGTGACTTACAAAGCAACAACAGCTGAGGTGCACCAGGACACGGTCCCTATTTCTTTAGTATCTGTTCTCCTGACATCACTGAAATGCTGTGATTTTGAAGACATGCCTTGTAGTATGCCCAGCTGTGATAAGAAAGCAGCTGTCCATGCTGGGACATTAGCCCACCCTGGGCTCAAGGGCTCTGACCAGGTCTGACTCTGAAATCTGGTGCTCTCTCCTTGCCCTCAGTGCCCAGTCCCCATGTATCCCACTGGCTCCTGCATTAACCCAGAAATGCATAGCTTGTATCTTTGCATTTTGCTGGGAACTTATTCAGTTTATTTAATAAACTGAATAAATTGGTTGTAAGCAAAAGCAAAACAAAACAAAAACCTGGGGGACCTTTAGCACAGGTACTTTCCCTGGTGCTCCCCTGTGTTCTCCTCTGGTAGGGAGGAGTTCATATATGCAAATCCCTTCATGCTGCCTCTCAGGTGCCCAAAGCCTCCTTCTGAAACCTTGGTTCTCACAACACTCCCATCTTCCTTATTTTTACCTTCCAAATCCTATCAAAATTTACCTGCCCAGTGATTAATCCTTTCTTGTTAGTAGAAAGCTGCCTGATTTTGGATAATAGCTTAATGCTAGGAGATAGAAGGTTTTCTCAGGGATATAACATTTTCATATGAAGGGGCGAGTCTTTAATGATGGCATCAGATTCCATGATAAGTCAAAGGAAGAGATTTGCAGATACAGGGATTAAAAACGACTTTGTCTGCCTGGTCTTGCTACTAAACCGAAGAACAAATTAATTGTGGAAGACAAATAAATCATGGAAAGAAAGCAAGATTATTTCAAAACCCCAAAAGAAAGCAAGATTATTTCAAATTGTGGAAAACAAATAAATCATGGAAAGAAAGCAAGATTATTTCCACATCAGTGGGTCAGAGAGCCATTGGCAATTCCGTAGTTTGTATATAGAAATGCCTCTTTCAAATGGCAGGCTTGGAGTTGCTTTCACACAGTACTTCACAAAACAAAATTGATAAAAATGTTAACTGACCCCATTAAAGAATGGGGGGGGTTGCTGTTATTGAAAAGTGTTAAACCACTCCTCAGTTTTCCCTCCTAGATGCCAGAAACCTTTGCAGTGAAGAACATATTTATTGAACACCTGTAATGTGCCAGGCATTTGTTAAATCTTTTTGTGACATAAATACAGGATTTTTTTTTCATATGCAAGGTCATATGAAAGTCTTGCGTTTATCTATATTGAAACATAAGTTGTAACACTAGGAATTATCTATATAATCTATGAATGACATTATGCACGTTTATCCTGCATAGGAAGAAAATAATCACTTGACTGTTATATCTTTTCCATATAGCCCAATCATGAAGCAGTGAAAAAAAATCTAATTATGTATTTCCCCTATCCCAAATCATCACATTCCTAAACACACATAGATAAATAGGCTCATCCAGTCATCCCATTTTTATTCATGAATATACTATACAAAGACAGACACAGAGACACTCACTCTATTACATTCTGAAATACCCTCACTTCTCTGTAGAGGTACTGCATATTCACTGAGGTACTTACTCTGTTTACAGACTAATATGACCTGCTGAGAGGAGGCATTGGAAGAAACATCAACCAGAACAATGGCAACTGATTTCACACAAGAAGAACCATTGAAGATCACTGGAGCCTTGTACCTCTGCACTTGGTAGATTACAGAATGACATTCTGATGGATTTGGAATGCTAAAATATTCCAGAGATAAGATTATAAACTCCCCAGTAATTATATCAAGAATCTCATTATCTAATTAAAATTGCAAAAATCTTCCACAAGATTTCTCACAGCTATTTATTTATTTATTTTAAGATTTTATTTATTTATTTGAGAGAGAGCAAATTAGAGAGTGCAAGCAGGGGAGTGGCAGAGGGAGAGGGAGAAGCAGGCTCCCTGCTGAGCAAGAAGCCCAATGCAGGACTCCATCCCAGGACCCAGACGTCTGCACAGACAGCTATTTAAAAAATAAATTCAGATTGGGGGCGCCTGGGTGGCTCAGTTGGTTAAGCGACTGCCTTCAGCTCAGGTCATGATCCTGGAGTGTGGGGATCGAGTCCTGAGTCGTCATCGGGCTCCCTGCTCAGTGGGGGGTCTGCTTCTCCCTCTGGCCCTCCCCTTTCTCAGTCTCTCTCTCTTTCACTCTCTCTCTCTCAAATAAATAAATAAAATATTTAATAAAAACAGTTTCATCAAGGTAACCCTGCCTCTTAAGCACGCTCATCAGCTAATACTGAAAATGCCAAGGCCCGCCCCCAGATTTCTGTGAATTTCCTAGGAAGATTCTGATTTTTTTCCTGCTTTCACCACCTTCGTTCAGTTTTGTAATCATCTCATCTTGTGCCTGGCTTGTCTTCTGCACCTGTTGAATCACATGTGGAACTTCTCCCTAGTTTTCAAAAAAACTCAAGCAAATTTGACTGACACTTTAAGGAAGTGGGAGAAATTCCACTTATGGGGGGCGGGGCAATTGAAGCAGTTAGAGCAACAAAAACAACTTTAAGTGAATGTTAGAGTCTTGTTTCTTTTTTTTTTTTTAAAGGGAAGGTTGACAGACATCTAGAGCTTTCTGCACAACTGTTGTTGGTGTTTTTTTTTTTAAGATTTATTTATTTATTTATTTGACAGAGAGAGGCACAGTGAGAGAGGGAACACAAGCAGGGTGAGTGGGAGAGGGAGAAGCAGGCTTCGCGCGGAGCAGGGAGCCCGATGTGGGGCTCGATCCCAGGACCCTGGGATCATGACCTGAGCCGAAAGCAGACGCTTAACGACTGAGCCACCCAGGCGCCCCTAAAGAGTCTTGTTTCTTCAACTCTTTCTGCCACCCCACCATAAGAAACTCTTGATTGGTTAATTCATTCTTATGGTTTCTCTTTTTCTCCATCACCTCACATTCCTGGTGTCCTCTCTCTTAGATGGTCTCCAGAGAACTTCACATTCTTCTCCCCGTCTTTGGTTCCTACTCCCAAACTCAGCTCTGGGTTGGTGTTTTTGTTTGTTTTTTAATACTCAAATTCATCAAGGTACTCAGCAGAAAAAAACAAAACACACAAAAAACCTCCAACAACCAACTTCCTTTCTTAAGATCCAGCTTCAAAGGAGATGCAATTGTTTTCTTAGTTATGAAAAGTTTGCTAAGGTTAGTAGTTCTAAGCAGTACAGTATATTTCATATCGTTATCAGTCTTAAATCTTTTGGGAAAACAGTGCATAGCTTAGGTATAAAAGAACTACCATATTTTTGCGGGTATTTCATTGTAACAGAAAGGAAACTAACATTTATTGAAAGACTACTATATGTGAAGCACTATATTTATAAATTACAAATTTACTGGACCCCTATCTGGCAGACACTTTTACTTAAGGCACTTACTAGACCTTACCCTCCAGTTTTCCCATCCATGAGACACCTGGACTGTCCCTGGGGACTTTGTGACCATGGTCAGCAACTCCATCCATGCAACTTAATGTTTACAGATAATTGGAGCATCCAATCACTTTTCTCTAAGAGAGTACAAAGATCACCTTACGAGAAAGTTCAGACCTCTTGTTTTGTTTTTTGTAAGACTGGGCCTTTAACTGGTGTTAAAATGTGTATATATAATGTGTTTTAGGATCATGTTCCCTCTTTGACTAGAGGCGTGGCTTCGGAGAATGTTAACTTTTAGCCAGAATTTGAGGGGCTTGAAATCCCTTTTCTAGTCCTAAATCTCCACTCTGAAGAGTAAAATACGTAGTAGGTAACAGGCACAAGAGTCCCTGCTTCCTCCGCGGCGAAGGCCAGGATGCGAATAACATCAGGGTGATCGAACACGCCCGGACAAACACTGGGCCAACGCGACCGGCGGGAAAGCGCACGGAAGCTCAGTCTAGCCTGGGCCCTGCCCTCGCCGCCCACCCAAAACGTCCTTTTTACCCCTCCCACCTCCCTGGCGTGAGCAAGACTGCGGAAGAGGAAGTAGTCACCGGCGGGCGGGCGCGCGCGGGCGCAGCCCCGCCTCTCCGTGACGTCGAAGACGCGACGCGTCGTAACGCAGTGAAAACTGGGAAAAGGGGATGAGCTGGGCTGGTTTCCGTCGGGCTAGCGAAGGCTAATTCTTCTTCGAGTTGGTGGAAGATGGGCCTTTGGAGAGGAGGCCGGCGTTAGTCAAGCGCGCCTGGCGCCACGGTGAGTGTAGGTCTGGGTCCTGGCCTTTGTTCCTCGGGAAGCCGTCTGCATTGAACGGCTTTTCTTTTCACAACCTGCTCGTCACCGGGGAGACAGGTCCTGTCCGCCGAGAGGGATGGTACAACCCCGAACATAGAATCGGCTTTTAGAGGAAGGGCCCAACTTCGAGTCTTTCCCGCTGCCTCCCCAGGGTTGTCCAGTGAGTTTCGTGTAGTTTTTTCAGGTTTTCCGGTCTTAGAAGGTGGCCTTGACCATCCCTCGTTCTTCAACACCTAAACCCGACTTTGACCTCCTTCCTCTGGCCTCCGTTTTCTGATTTTCTGCTATCGAGCTACAGTCCCAGGCCTTTAATACAGCCCCTCACAGTGTTTCCCAGTACCTTCTTTGTCTCAGTCAAACTTAGTTTTAGTGCAGTCCAAGTATGAGTTTAAAGAACCTATAAGCTCATCAGTTAAAACTATGACTTCCGTAAATAAAAGCTTTTCTTTGCTAAAATGTGGCCTCTCCTAGTTGTGGGACAAGTAAATTTCACCTCCACTCCACCTTGGAAATTTCAGAACCCTGAATCGCAGTGATGTTCATTTATACATAAAGCTGCAGACTACACTTCGGGTTTAATTCTTTTCTCCAGTTCATTCTGTGACCTTGAAGCAAGTCACTTAATCACTAACAAAATATTTACCTGAAGGAATTTAGTATTTCTTAAGCACCCTGAGGGTTTCAGATGAAAGGGATGTTACTGTTTCTGAATCTGCCAGCAGTGTTAGTTTTGTATATCTTTTGCTGAAGCCATTAAAAATGTCAAGTGGTATTTGTTAAGGAACTGTACCTGTTCTGGGCTTGCTCTGTGGCTTTGCTATGTACGCAGATTTTGCATTTCAACATTCTGCTTAAGGTTCCCTGATGAATGTCTTTCCTGATGGATTTAGATAGTTTGTCATGACTCCACAGTACTGGGCCATTTTATCTGAAAGGTGATGTAGGTTGTGCTATGCCTTTATCCTATTGCAGTGGCTGCCTTGAAATGTGTATTCTTTTTCTTGTGACACATTGAGTACATCTTTAAAATTAGATAGTAGGAACCTTATAATAGTAAAACAACAGCTTGTTATTAATGACATAAATATGCATTAATTGCACATAAGTGTGTAGGTATGTATTGTATTCTTTGAGAAAGCAATGCATGAGAAAAACTAACAAAAACATTTTAAAGATGTCTCTTTAGTATTTAACTTTATATATTTACCTGACGTTTAATAATCATTATAACTATTTGTTTATTAATATGAACATATTGGGAAAGATCCAAAATGGCTTTTGTAAAGTAAGACAGTTGGAAAATAAATCCAGCACATCAAATTTTTTTCCATAAAATGTCTAGCATTATATTTTCATTATGAATTTTTCTACATGAAGATACAGTTATTTTTGTAGAGATTAAAAGAAAAATGTGCCCATCAAATATGAGTTGTTAACTATATTGGATATACTTAAGGAAACATTTTTTTTTTTTAAATCTTGGTTATTGTCCCAATTACCTATTGATATATAACAAATCACTCCAAACAGAGTAGCTTCAAACTGTTATATTTCTCTGGGCTAACTGGAGTCAGCTGGTTGGTTCTCACTTAGAGTTTCATGCATTTGTGGTCAGATAGGCAGCCAGGGTTGAAGTCATCTGAAAGCTTAACTGAGTTGGACATCCAAGATGGCTCATTTGCATGAATGGCAGTTGATGTTGGCTGGTAGTTCAGCTAGGGATGTCATCTGGAGCGCCTGTGCATGGCCTCTTCATGGGGCTTGAACTTCTCGTAGCATGAGTTTGAGTTTCAAAAGCAAGTATTTGAAGAAACAGAAGTGGAAGCTGTCTCTTAGCTTGAACCCAGAAATTGGCATAGCATTACTTCCAACATTCTCTATTAGAGCAGCCAGAGTCCTCCGTCCCACAGATGATAGACCCCTACATATTTTGGAGAGAAGAATATCAAAGAGTTTGTGGCCATCTTTAGCCTACCATAATTTTATTGATAAAGTTGTATTAAAGTAATTTTGGATTTAATAGTAGATGCGGAACAGGACACACTTCTGATTTCTTTAACCGTAATATTTTGTATTTTCGTGGCACATTATAATTTTCAGAGCATTTTTCTGTATAGACTTTTTCATTTGATACCTATGAGAACTCTGTAGAAGCAGGTGACTCATTCCCATTTGCAGATGGAGGTAAACTGAGGAGTGGCAGTGGGTGTTGAGGGGAGGATTTAAGGAATTTGCTCAGAGTCATGTGATAATGGAAAGTGAGACTAAGACCTACAATGCTTTCATAATATAAAGCTTATAGTAAATGTTGAAATGTTATAATTAAGCTTATTTGGAATTCCATATTTATCACCATACTAATTCAAGTAAAATCGCACTCAAGTGTAGTGAATAAAGTCAGTGTCTCTAACACATTACAGTTCAGTTTTTCATGGTCCTAAATTCTCTGAAACGTACAAATAATGATGTGAACCTGTATGTCTTTCTAATATAGTGAAATGAAATTGTTACACATTGTAATACCAATTTCAAAACAAAGACCTTAAACAGTTATGGGTCTAGGAATCTTGAACGCTTTATTTTCTCAGTTACAGAATTTTAAAAATGAAAATGATTTCTCATAATTTTTATACCTTGGAAATTATATGACTTAAAATGTTGATTTCAGCTAGAACCTAATTGTCATCTTCGTACCGTTTCACTACTTCTAGTACCATGTTTATATCCATTTTTTATGTCCATGGATCTCTGTCTTGACTGCATGGTAGAATTTACCTGAGGAGCTTTTAAAAAATATCTAGGTGCAAGTCCCATGCTCTGAGATTCTGATTTAACCATTTAGGAGTAGGTTCTGAGCATCATTATTTTGTTGTTCTGAAGGTGATTCTAATATATGGCTAAGAATGAGAACCATGTCTTTTTTTTTTTTTTCTACATACTAAGTATGATCTGGTTCCCTACTCATTTATTTTGCGTATGCTAAAAAAATTAAGGAGATAAGGAGGGAGAGAATGTATGAAATGGATTATGGTTATAAATATAAGTAGACACCTGTTATGGAAAACAGTTACCCTTCAGGTTTTTTTCTAGGAATAGTCTTAATAAAAGCTACAGATTTTGGCATGGTTTGTTAGTACCTATATGATGGTACTTTGCTTTGTATTAACATTGTTAACTTATCTTTCATCTTAAGAGGTAGAAACTTTGTTAGGAGGTATATATATATTTTTTATTTTTTTATTTTTTTTAAAGTAGACTCCATGCCCAGCGTGGAGCCCCACACGGGGCTTGAACTCACGACCCTGAGATCAAGACCTGAGCTGAGATCAAGTCAGACACTTAACCTACTGAGTCACCCGGGCACCCCAGGAGGTATATTCTTTATATTCCCTATAGCTCCTGACACTACACCTTGAATAGATGTAGATACTCTAAATGTTTGCCAAGTAGAAGATAGTTTATATAGTCAATCTTCAGAACTAGGACTAGTTATTTTCCTTTTTTTTTTAGTTTTGTAAGAACTTTATGAAAATTCTTTGAAGTTCTTTTTCTGTGGTGTCCATAATATCGCACTTTCCTGGTTTTTCTTCAATCTGTTTCTTCCTCTTTGGGGAACATTGCCCTTCATCCTCCTCCCCACCAAGCCCTTCAAGTATCTTGTCAGTTGTAGAGAAACAAGATTTCATTTTCTTGTTGATTCATTCTCCTGCTTTTAGTTACTAGTATAAATAATGTCTGTGTTTTTAAAAATATACATAAAAGCCAAAAAAAAAACCAAAAAAAAAAAAAAAGAAGAAGAAGAAAGGGCGCCTGGGTGGCTCAGTTGGTTAAGCGACTGCCTTCGGCTCAGGTCATGATCCTGGAGTCCCGGGATCAAGTCCCGCATCGGGCTCCCTGCTCGGCGGGGAGTCTGCTTCTCCCTCTGACCCTCTTCCCTCTCGTGCTCTCTGTCTCTCAAATAAATAAATAAAATCCTTTAAAATATATATATATATATACATAAAAGCCAAGAAAATCAGATTATTTTAAGTCATATCCCAGATAATATATCATTTAAGCATCAATGCTTTGTTACCTCCCAAAACAATAGGGATTATCAAAATTAACGTTAATGCCTTAATAGTTGGTTTAATATTTGTCTGGTCTCTCTGTGGACCTGATCTCTGCTTACATATTTACATCTCTATCAAGGCATCTTTAGATGTTCCTTTTGCATACATGTTTAAAATTTCCTGTGAATCAGTGATCATTATTTGGGAGTAATTTGCCCACCAGGGGACATTCAGCAATGTCTGGAGACATTTTTGGTTGTCACAGCTGGAGGGGGATGAATTACTACTGGCATCTAGTGGGTAGAGGCCAGGGATGCTGCTAAATATCCTGCAATGCACAGGGCAGCCTCCTATAACAAAGTTTTGGGTTCAAAATAAGAATAGTGCCCAGGTTGAGAAATGCTGCTTGTACACTGATCAGTTTTTTAAACTAGTGTTGGTTTGTTGTTGTTGTTGTTGTTGTTAAACAGCACTACCATTCTGTGTGTGTGTACACACAAGAGAAGATTTTCTGTTTGAGTCAGTCTGTTCTGTTACAAAAGCATATTTCTCCCTTTTTGTGTTCTCTTTTGCAATGGCCTGCTGGTTATTCTTATCCAAAGTATTATTCCTTGTTCCTATTTCCTTCAAATCCGTCTTGCATATCCCCACTTTGACCCGACCTCAGGTATCATTTTCCCCTTCAAGAACTGGCTTGTTGCCTGTTGAATAAATTATAAACAATTCTTGATGGCTTCAGAAGCCCTCCATAATATGACTCCATCTCCTTACCTAATATAATTTATTGTTAGCCAACAGTTATTAAGTGTTGACAGTAAGGACTGAGGTCGGTGCTAGGGATCTAGCATGTCAGAGTAGTGACATGTAAAGAAGATATGTACTCGTAATCCCTTGATCAAATTGATTATTTCCCTGTACTCATGGTCCCCAGTTTACAATGGTTTGACCTAGGATTTTTCAACTTTATGATGGTGTAAAAGTGATACACGTTCAGTAGAAACTGTACTTCAGATTTTGAATTTTGATCTTTTCCCAGGCAGCAATATGTGGTACTGGGCAGTGACAGTGAGCCACAGTGCCCAGTCAGCCATGTGATGGTGGGGGTGAGCAACGATAGACTTCCAGCTATTCTGTTTTTCACTTTCAGTATAGTATTCAATAAATTACATGAAATATTAACACTCTGTAATAAAATAGCTTTGTGATAGATGGTTTTGCCCAACTATTGGCTAAGGAAGTGTCCTGAGCATGTTTAAGGTAGGCTAGGCTAAGCTGTGATGTTTGTTGGATTAGGTGTATTAATGTATTTTTGACTTAATGGTATTTTCAACTTCTTACGGATTTATTGGGACATAACCCCTTCATGAATTGAGAAGGATTTGTAATTCCTATAGTATTCCTTATTTTTCTCATTGCCTTCCCATACTTAATTCCTCATTTTGTGTCTTTGTTCATGTTGGTTTCCTTTTCTGGAATACCCTCCTTTCTCACTCAATTCATAGCTAAATCTTATCCTTAGGGCTAGTTCTTGTCTCTGCCTCATCATATCATCATGAGCACTTCATACTTATGAGGGTCTTAAAACCTAGTCATAATTGTCATTTGGTTGAAATAGTATACTAAGGCAATGACATAGATTGTACATACTATAGAATTTAGACCAAGAAATGAACTCCCAATAGCTGGGACCATCAAGGATGAAAGAAGTGGAACTTAAGTTGGTCCTTGAAGGAAGAGGGACCAGCACCAAAGAGAGTGCACTCTAGGCTGGATGAAGCTACACCAAATTTTCTCCTTCTTTTGGGGCACCTGGGTGGCTCAGTCGGTTAAGCAACTGCCTTCGGCTCAGGTCATGATCCCAGGGTCCTGGGATCGAGCCCCACATCAGGCTGCCTGCTCTGCAGGAAGCCTGCTTCTCCCTCTCCCACTCTCCCTGCTTGTGTTCCCTCTCTCGCTGTGTCTCTTTCTGTCAAATAAATAAATAAAAATCTTTTTTTTTTTTTTAAGATTTTTATTTATTTATTTGACATAGTGAGAGAGAGCACAAGCAGGAAGAGCAGCAGAGGGAGAAGCAGGCTCCCTGCTGAGCAAGGAGCCCAATGCAGGACTCCATCCCAGGACCCTGGGATCATGACCTGAGCCGAAGGCAGACCCTTAACCAACTGAGCCACCCAGGCATCCCTGAATAAATAAAAATTAAAAAAAAAAAAAAATGTTCTGCTTTTTTTGACTTCCCAGTGACTGGAGTCACATATTAATATACAGTGTAGCAATTAATTGTTGGCTTATTATTTAATAGGTATTAGTTTGGTCTTGGTAACTAAACTAAGACATTTGGATCAGAAGCTCTGTGTTAGTCTTGAAGCTTGTACCACAGTATAAATTAGTGGACTGCTTTCTTCACAGAAAAGTTCTTGCTGCTAGTGTGCTTAATTGATTTACATCTGTCATAAATTTCTTATTTTATCACAGACTGGTAACAGTTCCCCAGCTGTCTCTGGTCTGTGGGCCACGCTTGAAGTAGCATTGCTCTGCAGAACTTTTACACTTTTTCAGTTGTAACCTATAGTAAGAAATAACATTTTACATTTCAATCCAGTGTTATATGCATACACATACACAACCCAAACTGAAGTTTCATGAAACAATACTTAACCTTACTATATGTGACATGCTCTGATATTTTCTCTTCAATTTTATTTTTTTTAATGCTGATTGTGACCTTATGGATTTGGAAACACTGCCCTTGGGGCACCTGGGTGGCTCACTCGGTTAAGCATCAGACTCTTGGTTTCAGCTCAGGTCATGATCTCAGGGAGGTGGGATCCAGCCTCCGTGTGGAGCTCTGTGCTCAGTGGGGATTCTTCTTGGGATTCTCTCCCTCTCTCTCTCTCCATCTGTTCCTTCTCCCCCTCCCTCCCTCTCTCTTTCTCTGCCTCCCTGTCCCTCTCAAATAAATAAATAAATAAAAACAAAAAAACACTGCTCTCACACAGTTATTAGCTCAGTGCTAGACATATAGTAGATACTCAGAAAATACCAGAAGTTTTAGCAATGACTAATTCTTAAAAGGGTTGAGCCTTCTTAATACTTTAGGATTACTTTAAAATAGTTCATGATTACTTACTTGTCTGTGGCATTTAAACTAGAATGAGTATAGATTGGATTATGTGAAATTTAAGGCAATCAGAAGATATAATGAGTGCTGTTGCTGTTTAAGGGGAGAAATGGACTGAGATGATGGATGCCCAATGGAGACAAACTTTGCTCTACTTTTAGCATTGCCAAGGACCTAGGCAGTGGCTGGTGTGAAGCCCTAGTTAAGATATCAGGACCAGTTTGAATGACCACAAACCTCAGTCTTCACCTTTTTACTTTTTAGTCTTCACTCTGGTTCAAGTCATCTATCTTTACTCTTTCTCTTTGGAAGAATCAGAAGGCTGTCATAAACAGAGGGGGATACATATGCCTTCCTTCCCCCCCCGCCCTATTTTGTTAACTGATTTTCAGCACTGTCTGGATTTCACTTTTGGAGCATTGCTGTGTGACTAAAGCTGAAGTATTTAATCTTTATCAGATTTATACATCTTAAGAAAATTATTTTTTTTAGAAGAACTTTAATTTTTCTCGCATATACTTTGTTTTTATTTTTTAATGCACAATCCTTTTTGAAGCATAACATAGTTTTAATAGATTGTATGTTATATTTAGTTCTAGATATAAACAAATAGGTTCTATAAATTATTTGAGTTCTATACTTATTGAACATTCTTTTATAAGTATCAGTAGGATTGTTACAACAACAAAAAACTGCAGCTGCTCTTTTCCTTGTTTTTACTGTTGCAGCCAAAATAAAGAAATTGTGAATTCATTCAGTCATATATTTTATGTCAACCTATTTTGAAATCTTTTTAAAGGCAAAGTGCAGCAGAATGATCAAGAATTTAACACATTATATTTCACATAGATTTAAGTTGCATGTGTATCCTTCTTTGCTTTCTCATTTGATTAGGGGAAAATACCCTGTACATTGTACTTTGACTTCTGCAGAAATCTGTGATTGTAGAGGCTGAAACAGCAATTAAAGTAAGGCTGTAAGTATTTTTAACACCAGGCATCTTATTTGACAGTGTCACTTATATAATTTTGTAAATGAAAATGAAAACAACTGTGGTCCTTTGATGACATTATCAGAGAAAATTGTTACTTATTTCAGCTGTTCTCAAAAATCATATAAGGACAGGAGAGCCTGACTGGTTCAGGTCAGTAGAATGTGCTGCTCTTGATCTCAGCATTGTAAGTTTGAGCTTCACATTGGAT